TTTTAACATGATTATAAAAGTGACAACAAATTAAAAAAGAATAAAGTTGTGAAGGAACTCGTGACCTCTTACTTTGAAGTTTCAGCCTTAATCACGAGGCTAGAATGATAAGTTCTAATATAAATATGATTTTATTTATGAACTAGGTTCATGAGTTTCATAGTTATTATGTCAATATACCTTGAAAAAAATAAGAAGTCAAAAAGTTGCTCAAGGTTTTAAACTCATGACCCCCCACTTAAATAGTTTTAAATTAAACCATATAGCTAGAAGCAACTGATGTGAGTTTATGCACTAACAATCAAAATCGAGATCATGAAACAGGCAGGTGACTGTTGCTTCTTATACAAGGGAATGTATATGCAGAGCTTTGAATTGATATCGTGCCTCAACAATTTGGTGATATTTTATGTTATGCCAACTTTTATGTTATGCACATGAATTTCTATGATAAATCTTAGTCGTCGGGTCATCATCTATAACATCTCGGATTATGTAAAAAGAAGAAACAATTTTGAGGTTGGAGAGTGATTCTACAGGTCTCCATCTATGGGTCGTAGATGGCAGTCGTAGAAAGAGGGGAATAAATTTCTAAAATCAAGTCCTAGTATCTCTTTTACAGTTCATCAGTACAATTATTCAAGTGATCTACGAGTCGTAAATAGGTCTTGTAGGTATGTCTATGACTTAGTTAAATTTTAAGGCCAAAATTTGAGTCTTATAGTTAGGGTCTATATATCGTAGGAAGTCCTACGGTCCGTATATGGTACTGTCAAAAGTTAAGTGATTTTCCAATATTTGGCCTATGGTTGACTAGTAGGGACCATATAAAGTAGGTTTGTACCATGGATTGAGTTTAACAGTTAATTTTCAAGGGCTTTTAGGTCTTTTTCTAATTATTTTAAGTCAATATTATATCGTTTTGTCTTCAACCCTAAGACCTATATAAATCTTTTAAGTCCTAAAGCTACCCACTTCAACCTCATTATCCTAATGCTCCAAAACCTAACCAAATTCACCCCCAAGTTACTCTCAACTTAAGGAATATGACGAAGAATATGCTAGGGTTCAATTCAAGTCTTTAGTTCACCCTTCTTTGTGGGCTTTTAGCAGCAAGGTATGTGGATATTCACAAATAGAGTTTATCCCCCCATCGGTCCCCAAGGTTTCCAACTTCTCAATTTCAACTTGGTCAAGTTAGGGTTTCAATTCAATCTTAATAGGTTTTATCCAATTATAATTTATTTTATAACACCCAGAAAAATTTCTAAGCTAAGGCATGAGCCATTCTTTATTTGCATGTAAAAATTGAATCAGGTGATTCTTAAATTACTCATATGTGTTAAGGGCATTTATTTTGTATTCGAATGGATTTGAATATGACTTAAGGTTAGAATAACCCTCTTGGACAAAGTTGAGTTGAAAGCTTCATTACCTATTAAGTTTTGACATAAGATTCTACTTAGGTCAACTTCAAACAATCATATTTCCCAGCACATAATGAATTAATTATGTGGCATATGACCTACCAAATTAAATGACTTTGTGTCCTCTTTATAGTCACGCCATGTTTACCTAACTTCATGTTTGGAGTAAAAGTTACGACCAATTTACCATAGACTGTCAAATCAGCATTTTCTGAGTCTGTGAACGATGACCCCAATCGACGGGTTGTAGGTTGAACGACAACCCGTCCTGTTCGATTGTTGGTAGAGTATTGGGAGTCAAATTTTGAGACCCAATTGACGGGCCATAAGTGGACCGTCCGGCCGTCGTTTGGACCCATAAATAGACTTTTAATCCTTAAAATCCAATATCAATTTCATGGATGAGGCCTACGGTCGTAGGTCAAACCATGTATCGTAGATGTAACTGTGGACACATCTTTAAAAGAGGGCCAGTTCAATATTTTTTCCACACTCCCTAAGTCTAACCCACAACCATTTTTCACCTAATTAAGGTCTAAATAGTATTAAAACATTATTTTATATTTTTTAACACTTTAAAGATTTATAGTAAGGATTCAAGAGGAGAAGAGGTGGGTTTTTTTTATTGTTTTTCGAATTTCACCGATTTCGCCAAAAACATTATTCTTTCCAGTTATGTAAATCTATCATAGTGATCTACTAAGTTCGTTCTCACGCTTTACATCTGCTTTCTATCAGTAAAGATAGTCTAGGGTTACATCCTTAGTTTTGATTATTCTTGAGATAAGTTTGTTGTTGAATTTTGAGTTGTTATTCTTAATTTTTGAGTTGCTATATATTATGTACTGAGATTCTAGAGTTGATTATCTATGCCTATTTTTCAGCATGAACTCTATTATTTGAAATATTCACTGAGTTATCGATGAGAATCTTTTTAACCAAATAAATATCTTAAATTAATTTTATAAAGTAAAAAGGAGTTTTTGAAGAAAGCTTAAAGAACATTTTGAGTAAATCTTAAGGGAATTATTGTTTTCCAAATTTATCATTTTTGCATTGAGAAACGAGAAACTTTGATTTATAAATGAGTAATTAGTTCAAAGTTAATTAAGAGTAATTGCCTCTTTTTTTAAAAAGGGTAGTTGAGCAATTATCTCAAAATAGAGAAAGAGTAATGTTTTTATACATTTAGCAAAGGTATATATTATTGGGAGTAGTATTGAGCACTGATATGAGGGAGAGCTTAGAAAACTCACAACCCCAATAAATCATGTCTTGCCAACATGTGTAAAATATCATACTTTTTAGATTAATCCTTAGCGCCTTCGGGGAGAACTTAGTGGATCCACTTAGTTAAGGTGTTGTATATCACGACACGATATAAGATAGTTTTGTCAGCATGGAAAATAGGATGTATCATCACTTTACTCATAGTGATAGTTATCAGTTAAAGAATCTCTCAATAGAGTTAAAGTGTAATTTTTATAGATCACTTAATTTTTAAAGTTTAAAGATTGAGGAAAGTATTTTTGTAAAGTTATAATGATTTCACTTTTTTATTTCTTTATATATTCAGTTAACTATATATGCATCTATTGCAGTCCTTTTGAGTATATTCAATGTACTGATGTCATTCGACCTACATCTTTTATAATGCAAATATATGTGTTCATCAACAGACGTCTCTTTGAGATCATTTTGCGCTTCAAACAACTTTGGTGAGCTTCCTTATTCCCGAAGGATTTCACAATTTACTTTTATGTAATTATTGAGTTGTCGTGGGTCTTGTACTGACTTTTATCCTAGTATTAGAGTCTTTATAGATAGTTAGAGTAAATGAGTCTCTTAGTATTTTCCTTTTTGTTTTAGACGTTTTGAGATTGTTTTGCAAAGTATTATTATTATTATTATTATTATTATTATTATTATTGCAGTTAGGTATTTTCGGACAGTTGAATTAAGTATTTACTTGAGTTTGATGTTCTAACTTCTACTTTTAAAGCTTCTTTATTCTTGAGTAAGTCTTCGGCTAAATAGTCAGTCAGGCCAAGGGTTCTCTTATAAATGAAAAATGATTCTCGAGTGCCGGCCACGTCCTGAGTGTAGTCTCAGGGGGTGACATTATTATAGTTGATTAAGTCTTCTAATGCATGACTCAATGTTAGTATATGATATTTAGATGAAATTACATCGATTCATGCCTAAATTATGATTTTCAACTATGACCTATGATGAATTCATGAACTATGAATCTTGCAAGATTATGCCTATATTATGAAAATGATGTTTATGATAATAGAGTGTTTTTAGATGAAATTATCAATGTGGTTGTGAAAGGATTTCTCATATACGAATATGATCATGAATTGTGAAAGGTAATTCTCACATATAAATTCACATTGGTGATAGATTTTATGCATCAATTGCAATTTAACGAGATATTTTATGTTTTTATCTTAAGATGTGGATTGGTCTTGTTCATTTGTCTTTCCTATGCGATATTAATATTTGACTTTTATATATTGCATTGGTATTTAGACTTAGCACCGAGAGGGGTTTGAGATGAATGCTAAAATAGGATAGTCTTTAGTAGTAACCTCTACTTCCAAACTACGTGCCCCATATGATTGTCTTAAATAATCTAGGTAGTGGCCACTTTAGAAAAAGATGATATGTACGAATTCTACCTTGGCAAATATATTCACTTTCTTTCGGTAGGAGGGATATATCTAATTTCATGATATAGTTCTCATGGTCTTATTGTCGGTTAAAATTAATATCCTGCAAAATGACTATGTTTTTCAAGGTTTTTGTTATATCCTTTATGTTAATGTATTTGACCATATTTCATTGTTCACATGTCATTTCTTCTTTAAGCTTTTAAATGTACGAATATTGGTCATGCCTTACATGTTCTAAGTCATTCATGCTACCATGTCTATTTTACACATGTTGCCCCATACTTAGTACATTTCATATACTAATACATACTTATGCCCACATTGTTTCACTAATGCAGCGTCCGACGCTCCTACCCCTCACTCTTGTAGCTAGTTGATCTCATTGACGAATCAAAGATAAAGAGTTAGTGAATCCTCATATTCCCAGGACTATGACAGTATTATTGCTTTCTTTATTTTCATTTCAGACTTTGTATGTGATATATGTGTTACGTCTCAATCACTTTCCTTATGACGTAATAGATGACTTATTGAGACTTATGATTAGACTTTCGCTTTATCAAAACTCTTTTGTGATATAGAACTATGTATTTAAATTCTTTATTTCTATTATCTTGTATGATATATGTTAAATGGTGTGAGGCTTTTTGGGGTCCTGTACGCCATGTCACGCCTATGGTGTACCTTGGATCATGACATTATCACCAAGAGAAACACAGAATTATATTTAATGAGAAGTATATTATTTAAAAGAGAATCCACTAAAAAAAACTTGTGAATGGTATCTTGACTTCAATGCCTTCATTATAGTAATGAACTCTGAAGATATGATTTTCTCGTTTAAATTATTTGATTGGGCTTTCAATGACATCAAATTGGCTTGAACCTATAATTAAACCAGCCAACATTATATAATAACACACAATTTTCATATACCTCGAATATTTGGCTATTGAATAATCTAGTATTCTTATGTAATGAATTATGTGAATCTCAATCTACAAATTGCTATACTATGAAGAATTTCTCAATAAGCACAATTAGTTTATGAAGATAACATATAAACATACATATATATTTGGTTTAACTAATTTCTTGAGGTTCTCCAAGTTGGGCCTTTGTCTTTGGGGAAACAAGAGTGGATGCCATAGAATGTGAATTTGATCTGATAAAAGTTAAATCTAATCTCTGAAAGGTTGAATCTGACCTTGTTCGACGATGTAAATTAGGACGTTTATCCACAACCTCGATATCCCATAGGACTTTTTCGTATTTTCTATTAGTATTAGGAGCCTCATGTGTAATTGAATTTCTCCATGGTGGTAATCCTCCATTTGGTTGAAGGTATGTTCCCCAAAATGATTTGAGACGTACCTGAAATCCATCCCTTATAGCTTCCCATTCCGCGGATGGGTAATTCTTTTCTGGAAGATCTGCTTGAATTACTTTCTTTCCAACAACTCCTGGAATGAATGGTGTGTTGGTAGCGGTTAGATATTTCCCATAACAACTCTTGAGACGAAATGCATCTTCTCTTCCCTCAACAAATTCAACATTCCAAATTGAATCTTTATTTGTTCCTTTACGTCTTTGTGTTACACTATCTTTGTCATCCATTGCTATTAGGTACTTGTCTTTTCGATTTCTAAGCCGGACGCTCTCCGCCCTTTGGAATAGTTCCATTTTTATCAATACCTAAATAATTCGTTCCAATTCATATGAGATAATTGAAGATAATGAATTAGATATATATGTATTGATTAAATGAAATGAAATTTGTTGCATGCATTGAATATATGGATATGCATACCTAAGTTTAAAAAATTAATTGCTAAACAAGGGTTTTGATGAAGAGAAAAAACATTCGATTTGACAGATCTTAAAAGATAAAATCTCTTTTCTCGATTAAGTTTTGAAAGATAAATGAAATATATGTTAAATCAATGTGATATATGTATGTTTCAAATAGAATCTCAATTATCTTTACTCAATGGTTAATATCTTCATATTTATTTACCAACTAATTTGCGTGTATTTCGATTCTTAGTACAATTTTATTGAATTACTAAAAATATTTTATGTAAAAAGGTATAAGTAGAAGTTCTTGTAATAAATTAAATATAATCATTAAGTCAATGACTTGACAATTTAAACTCAAACTAACATATATTATATATTATCGAACCTGAAAATGCAAATGTAAGGAATCAGATAGTTAGTAACATCAACTCTAATTATATAACTTATCAAACTATCATTATTTTAATTAGTATATGAAAATAAATCTTATTAGTAAAACGTGGTAGTATTATCTACTATATAACCTAGTAATTCAAATAACATGTTAAAGGTATGTAAAATTGAACAAAGAAGAAAAAAATAATTCAAATAAAAGTGTAATTTTAACATAACATCAGACTTTGTGAACATATATATGTCTAATTTACGTCAAAATAACTTTGTTACCAATTAAAACTTCCTCATATAATTCACCACTAAATAACAATATTCTTTCAAGCTACTTGTGGTTTTTTAAATAGCTTTTGTATATTTAAATTTGTAGTTTCTTCTTTGTTATAATTTTTAGTTGCATTTGTGTCTTTGATCTTTACCAACGTAAATGCTTCATCCGCGTCATTTGTTCTCTATAAATTTTTTTATTTTAAAATGAATATTAATTATAAAAGTCTTTCTTTTTTCAGGAAACTAACAAATCACCCGTAAAAGTAAAATAATAATAAATATATATCGCTTTATATTTATATTTCATTAAATAATTACATTCTATATCTTTAAATTTTTTCATTTAACTGATAGTAAATCAGTATATTATATTGTATTAATATCATTAAAATTAATAATTTCACTTCATTAATACTATATATATATATATATATATATATATATATATATATATATATATATAAAATTTAAATTTTTTATTTATAGTTATTTATCAGTTAATGATACTTAAATCGTATATATTCTTGTAACATGTGTTCTTTTTCCTTTTATATGTAGGATTCCTTTTTCCTTTTGTCCCTAGAATATAAGTTGCACTATCATTGGTACAATTACAATTACTTTGTATTTTTCTATATTATAAATAATCACATAAAGAAATTTATGGCATTTCTTTTATTCTGATAATACTATATAAAAGATTTTTAAAATGGTGTTTTTCAGATTTTTTGTTTTTATATGTAAGGTATATAATCCAAAAATTATTGATAAAAGAATTTGATTGTCATGATAAAATTAGTCTCAGAGAACGTTTGTTACACGTTTGAGTTATAATCAAGTTAAACACAATGAAAAAATAATTTTCCCTTCAGCATAACAAACAAACAAACAAAAAATGTGATCTCATAGAATTTATACAAGTATAAAAAAAAGTGTGAAAGCTTAATGTTTAAGCTTGAGAAACACCATTAATGGTGGACACTGAAAGGTTGAAACAATGCTGAGAGAGAAAGCAGTCTCAGATTCTTCATATATTGAGCAAAACTATCTCACGTGAATACAATGCTAAGCCATATATATATATACACACTTCTAGATCCTAAACATAATTTGTAACTAACTCTAACAGATTGAATAACTAACTAACAATAATATAACTAACTTCTAAGTCTCAATACCCCCCCTCAAGTTGGAAGTGAGGGAGCAGCCACAGACAACTTGGACAGAACATCGGAGTGTTTGATTCCTGGTAGAGCTTTGGTTAGGATGTCAGCCAACTGTTGATTAGTATGTACATAGTGGAGAGTGATGAGCCCTTCTTGAAGTTTAGTCCTGACGAAATGGCAATCAATCTCAATGTGCTTAGTACGCTCATGGAAAACTGGATTTCGAGCAATGTGTAATGCAGACTGGCTATCACAAAACACTGAAAAAGGACCTGTATAAGGGACGGTTAATTCATTGAACAATCTTTGTAACAAGACTAATTCACCAACAAGCTTCCTAAGAGATCTGTATTCAGCCTCAACAGAAGATAAGGAGATGGTTTCTTGCTTCTTAGACTTCCAACTCACAGGACAATCACCAAGTAAAACTAGATATCCAGTAACAGATTTTCTAGAATCTGGACAGGAAGCCCAATCAGAGTCGCAAAAGGAACGAACAGTGTAATCAGCTGAGTTAGACATGAAGATTCCCAATGTAGGATCTTGTTTAAGATACCTCAACAGATGAAATGCTGCTTTCAAATGTGGCTCGCGAGGTGCATGCATAAACTGGCTAAGATGTTGAACACCATAAGCAATGTCAAGTCTTGTGTTTGTGAGAAAATTCAGCTTTCCAA